CAATAATCCCTGACCGGGGATTTAAGCTTCACGACCGGGACCCTCTCTGTTTCTCAGACGCCCAAAACATCAAATACCCGGTCTCCTCAAAATAATACCCGGCCGGGTATTTTTGGTCATGGCCGGGTATTTTCTTCCTCCAGCACACTTCAAGCCTCATTTGCTCCTTTCGACCCGAATCTCGTTCCTTCGCCTCGATTCCAACGCCGGGTCCTGAAACATGACATAAACGCACAACCTAGCGTGAAATCGGCTTCAAATACGAGAATCAACATCTCAAACGGCTCAAGAATAGGGGTGAAAACATGTGTAATTATCGGTCTATCATCCACGCACACCCTAGTGTCAAGAAACTGAATGAGATTCAACTAGCTCAAATTGAACACTAAAATTCTATTCCATGTGAGGAAGATAGACAGATAGATGCACACCCCTAGTATCAAGAAACTGGTGGGGTTCAACTAAATGGAGATGGGATCAGCGACACTCATTCTACTTAGCTCAAATTGAACACGAATTTTATGCAATGCTAGCAAGATAGATAGATGGATCACTTACCATTAACGCCAAATTTTGAAGCTGGGTCAGGCCTTGGCTTAGGACAAATTCTGGGGTGAGGTGATCGATCCTCACCCCGGGACATCATGGTGGTAATTGGACACACTCAAGACTTCAACTCGCTGCTCTAAACCGAACGTAATCCACCTCAATAGCTGGTCTTCTAGTTCCCGGAGATCAAAACTAATTTGCAATTTTTCACGGGGATCCTCGGTTCGGCTTTGACTATTGCATCCAATGCGCGATCGACTTTGCCTGCAAAAAGCCTCTGTTCTTCCAAGTTACGCAATGTGCCTGCATACCCATATTTGAAGTTCAGAAATCCACTACTGCCAATGGCTTTCCACGCCCCGGGCCGTTCCACACTATGTTGACAAGAGAGCATTTTTCTGCCGCGTTCAAGGCGGGCATCTTTGAAGCAATTACCCCCTGGAATTTTGAAATTACATACAAAATATTTTATGAGTTATGGAAATTACATATAAATTAAAGCTTATAAAGAAATACCTATAGTGTGCAACACAGTAACATGCAGTCAGCATACAGTCTAGCGGGTATGAGTTTCTTTTCCTCCCCATATACTCGCGTTCAAACCTTCCCATACGCAAAAAAATCTTTTCATACCTTCTAAATTTTTACAGATTTATATTTTTTTTATTTAACCAAATAGTTAATTTAATCCGTCATTATTTTCTTCTATAAGTCATATCATTTTAAACTAACAATAGATCAATTAACTATTTCAACTTTTCAACTTATAAATTTGTATGTTTAAAGATTCTATAATCTCATTTAACTTTCACATTTTCTTTTATAAGTCATGTATTTTTAAACTATGTCAATCAAGTTTGTTGACTTTTAAAATCCTTATGTTTAACGAACTCAAATTTCACCTAATATATATGACTATTAAATCTGTTCATACCTTTCTCACTTATATTTATATGTAGAACTCTATCAGATTTGACTATTTAGTTGTCACATATAGAGTTATCATTTACATTTATTTGTATGAACTCATGTGGAAATTAAGAACAATATAGTCACCACTACTTTTATATGATATCACAACTAACTAATTGGGTCTATAGTCAATTCCATGTCCCAAATTAGCAAGCACAGTAAACAACCTAACTATACCCAAATTTTGATAGAAAGTTCTTTAATAATCATTCACAATCAACAACAATGTAAATTTTAAAGATATATATAAGTTATTACAAACACTCACAAATAATTTTTCAAAAACTGTATTTGTGTCATGGATTTTGTTGTCAACAACGGGTATGATACTTAATGTTAGAGATTATGTGAATATTTTAACAGCAAAGCTATCAGTTGAGGTCAAGCGAAGAGTGGCTGCTGATGGGAATGAAGAACTTGTTCAGATGAAACTGCACAAGTCCTTGAGACTATGGACTCTCTATGTTGATCTAGAGGAGGGCCTAGGTACATTAGACTCTGACTCGTGCAGTTTATGAGCGAATGTTGGACCTAAAAATAGCTACTCCGCAAATAATAATCGATTATGCATGCCTTTGAGGTCCTCCATGGAAATGAAGATACCTTCAGAGAAATGCTGCGAATCAAACGAACGGTTTGTGCTAGTCATAGCCAGGTATGCTTGCTAGTCCTGTGCATTTTCTACAATGTTCCATCCATACTTAAATGTTCTATACCTTACAAAATAGGAATCAAATATATTCCCGCGAGTTCAGGTTGAATAGTTGAGGGAATGATTGCCATTCTAGCTCAACAATTTGGTTGATAGAAGCCATACAAAGAAAAATTGTCACGTACATTAGAGGTATAATTCCCTTCAGGATATGACATTTGATGATAATGGAAATGGGAATCAAACATTCATCTCGTGTTCTATATGTGATTGAGATTGGTTGGGGGTAAATATGAATGTGCAGTTTTGGTTCCAGTTTCATTTGTATGTGGTTTCATACAGTGTTTCTTTCTGTTGTAGAATTAACCCCACACTGGAGATCTGGGGTTATTATGCTGAGGGCTCTGAGTGTAGTGATACTGAACACCACATGTAATTTAATCTCATTGTATGGTTTTTATTATAGATTTGTCTGGATGACTTTTTGATTCTGAACTTTGCTCTTACATCTGTACTGTTGCAGACACACTTCATTCTACCAGGGTATGTGCTGCAGCCTGCAGAAAGATCAGAGGATGAGCATACATGAGGCAAAAGACAAGTTGAAACAGGCCAGGCTCCCCGTGGACGAAATGGCTACTCTTGAAAAACAGTTAGCACCAGTTGGTACCGTTATTGACAACAGTGCTGCTGCAAAAGATGGCAACAACAGAAAAACGGTAGGGTTCGTACGGGCTGGAGTGCAGACGCAGACTGATGGCGGGGTAAAAGTTAGGGAAAATCGAGAAGACTTTGAGCTACCTGAAGAAAGCGACTCCGATGGTGATGAATTTAGAGGTGGCAATTGGATCAGATTCGTGGATTGGATTGGTGGATCCATGGATTAAATGGATTGGTAGATTCATGGATTGGATCAAATGGATTGGTGGATTGATCCATGAATCCAAATGACATCAAAGGCTTGGACCAAAATGTAAAATTTGAAAATTTTTGGTACTAAAATGTCATAATGAAAATTTTTAGGTACCAAAATGTAATTTTTCAATGATATTTTTCGTATAAAAATATAAATTTTAGGTACCAAAATGTAAAGTATAAAAAATATAGGTACCAAATCGTAATTTGCCATTTGGATCCATGGATTGATCCATGAATCCACTAATCCAATTGAATTTGGATAAAATGGATTGGATTTAAATGGATTGGGTTAGGTGGATAATTTGGTGGATGGATTGGATTCATGGATTTGAATCCTAATTGCCACTTCTATTGATGATGAGAAAGTGGAAGTTGCACAGAAGAATGTTCCATTTGAGGTCTTTGGAGGACTGGTTAGAAAGAGGGATGATTCTGAGAAAGATGGCTGCGATGAAAATGCTCTTGCAAATAGTGAAAACCGGCGGCTTGGTGCTCTTGAATCGATAGGATAAAACGACTTAAAGGCAGATTGGGGCGAGATGAATAGTAAGCAAATGGTTTTGATAGTTTTTTATGTTGTTTTCAATGTCCTTCAAGAAGAACTTGTGTGGTGGCTGGTAAAGTTTTGAGATTTTTCCAAAAATAGCACTGTTTAAAAAAAAAAATCCAAAAATAGCACCATTTTTGTAAAACCGCCACCCGGAGGTGTGTTTTTCGATGAAAACGCCACCCGAGGGCGCGTTTTTCGATGAAAACCGCACTGGTAGGGAGCGGTTTTGCAGACCGCACACCCAGGGTGCGTTTTGGTTGCAAACCGCACCCCCAGGGTGCGTTCTGTTTTTGTTTTTTTTTTTTTTTGCAAACCGCACCCCCAGGGTGCGTTCTGTTTTTTTTTTTTTTTTTTTTTTTGAAAAATCCTAACATAGGTGGAAATTTCAAACGAACGTATCTTTATGTTCGGGTATCCGATCGTCGCGATTTTTTTTTTGATTCCGCATAACTTTTTGAGATCTTGCAAGCCGAAGACTGCCGAAGGTGGTTTGGTCTCGCCTTCATACCAAAAAATGTCGTTTGCTACCCCGAACGAGCGATTTCGTCAAACTTTGGACAACCGTAACTTTGTGCTCCAAATCCAAACGGCATGATTTTTTTTTTATTTCGCATAACTTTTTAAGGACTACAATTTTTACTAGGAATGTATTTTCAAAACAGGAATTATTTTTGGATATACAGGATTTTGGGAATAGCTTATCTTCCCTTCTCAGCAATCCACGTACATTTTGAAATTATGTTTATGATAAAAGTTGTATTCCTTAAAAATTTACACGAAATAAAAAAAAATTTCATGACGTTTGGATTTTGGAGCACAAAGTTATGGTTGTCCAAAGTTTGACAAAATCGGAAAAAAGTTCGTTCAGGGTAGCAAACGACATTTTTTGGGACGAAGGCGAGACCAAACCACCTTTGGCAGTCTTCGGCTTGCAAGATCTCAAAAAGTTATGCGGAATCAAAAAAAAATCGCGACGATCGGATACCCGAACATAAAGATACGTTCATTTGAAGTTTCCACCTAAGTTAGGATTTTTCAAAAAAAAAAAAAAAAAATAGAACGCACCCTGGGGGTGTGGTTTGCAACCAAAACGCACCCTGGGGGTGCGGTCTGCAAAACCGCTCCCTACCAGTGCGGTTTTCATCGAAAAACGCGCCCTCGGGTGGCGTTTTTACAAAAATGGTGCTATTTTTGGAATTTTTCGGAGTTGGGTGTTATTTTTGGAATTTTTTTTTTAAACAGTGCTATTTCTGGAAAAATCTCTAAAGTTTTGCCATGATGCTGCTGAAAAAAATGTGACATTGAGAGGTTCCAATACTAGTAGCATTCTTCATTCACATATTATCATTAGATCAATACTGAGATTGAAACTTGAAAGGGTAATTTGATTTGGTTACTTACTTACTTATTGGGAGCACAAAAACCAATATCGTTCTACAACTCTACTCTTTCACACCCAAACACTGCTTCTAGGAAGCTTCACGTGAAGAAAAAAAAGGGGATGGAAACTAGTCCGTTCATTCTTCAGCAGTGTGCCAACGTAGCTAGAATCAACTAAGAGTACAACATGAAGAGAAAGAGAGCTGGGGAGTATTTACAAGGCATCAAGTTTTGACGGGGGAACAATCTCAAATTACTAACAAGAGATGGTTGACTAACCCACCAAGAAGACAAAAATGCGTCCATCGATCTCGAAGCAAAAGGGAATAATTGATTCCTAAGAAGCCTGCTTGCGCTCCTGCATTAAGATTACACAAGAAACAAGAAAGGATCCGTTACAATTTTCAAAAGGTACCCAATAATGTGAGTGATTCATCAAAGCATCAAGCAAACAACGACAAAGACTTTTGTTACCTCGTCGGCGTTGGTAATATAAGACGACGACAGTGATGTCGTCGAGCTTGCCCCCATAGTAACGGAATCCAGCATCCTGTGCAGCAGTTGAGAAAGGGGTCTGCCTGTCTTTGTCTTGTGCTCGTTGTCGTGCTAATGCGGCTATTTTCTGAGCCGTCACCTGTGGCCCAAATCCGGCTCTCACGGCGTGCACAACTACTGCTGTGATCTCGTTGTTGTAAAGGTTGTCGAACAAACCGTCTGTCCCTGCAACAATTACATCTCCAGGAGCGATGGGGACAGTGAATACCTGAAATGAATGCATATAATTTTAGGTAGTTCTAACACTCAAAACAACACGATTGAAACAAATTAAATTATAACTGAATGTTTTCAATTCATCAAGATTATGGCCATAGAAAGATTGTATGGAAACATGGAGATATAGTCAAATATCAATCTGTATCCCGCTATAGACAAGTATCACTAATCTAAGAAAGTAGAACATGATATACAAAAAGATTTAACAGATGAACATTGATAGCCAAGAAGAGTGGTCTTTGAATATTAACGAATGAACAATAAACTTCCAGATGATAAACAACACAGATTGCACCGTGTGGAAAAGTACAAAATAAATACCTGGCCGGAGCTAGGTAGATCGCCATTATTTCCACTCTCGAGCTGAAATGTAAAATTGAAGTCATGCTGCTGCACAGGAGAGCGGAAAATGGTGCAGCCATCTCGAATCACCATAAAGCCACTGTCCCCTAAATTGATAGCACGTAGGCCCTGCACAGCAAATGAACATCATCAACGAACCAATCCATGGCTATTGTTCTCTTCAGTTTCTGATCATATATGACATGGTTTTCTCAATAAGCCGAGCAATGAGCTTTTAAATGCTGGAATGCAACTTTTTAGTAAACATGACAAAAATAGTGGCAGAGAAATAAGGACCTCTTCTGTGAGAGCTATGATGCAAGCTGTGGAGGAACCTTTAGCTTTTGTACTAGAGTGAGCTTTCTCCAAGACTCTAGCTGGGTCAACAGATCCCTTGGGCTCCTCCAGGATTGCATCAACCGAATGAGACATGAGTTCCCTCGAAAACAATCCTGCATCAACACCAAGATCGGCCCAACCACCAACGCCATCAGCCACCCCTACAGCTTGCTTGTCTGAACAGATGAAGTGAGCATCCTCTCCACCGGTTTCTTCCTTGTCAGGATGAGGCAGGCAGCATGATCCAGAGAGTAGTTTCAGTGACCTTCCTGAGAGCTTTCTGTAGTCCATTACAAGAAAAGAAGATAATTTAGTTCCAGTGATTACTTGCACAAAGACATCATTCATTGTTGTAACAAAAAAATTGGAAACTTGGGAATGAAACATACGATTGTGATGAATCTGAAGCACCAACATCAAGCCTTTCCTCACGGTTCGAGCTTTCATAATTCACATTAGAAGCAGATCCAGCGGAAAAGCATGATGAAGAGGAGCTATGGAAATGCCTGACTGCCATCTCTATGTTCGAAGAAACACCTAACCACTTGTTTGCCGCGTGATATGCCAAGTACCCATAAACTGGAGAGTTAGAAGAACACTGTTCAGAACTTCTTGAGCTCATGCTGGCCATTTTGAAACTTCTATTTCCAAAAGCGATGTTCTCACTCCTGGTTGAGCAAGGTAAACGAGAACCCTTTTTTGAAGTAAGGCTCTCCAAGAGGCTCTCACCAAGAAAAGATCTTTGCACAGAAGCAGCCATGTTGCTGTTCTTTAGCTTCTTCCCTGCTGAGATTGCACCAGTGTCACAAACAGCACGATCGATGTGATAACCAGCAACTTGATATGATGGACCTGAAACAGACGGTACAGAGAAGGTGCGCGAGAGCGCTCCAACGACAGAGATATTCCTCTCCCTGTTAACTACCAATGAATCAGCTCCAGCTGTAGAAACAATACCGGGTCTCCAAAGCAGCTGGAGGTCTGTCAGGGAAGCAATCCGAACGGTATGCAGCAGCTTATAGTTACAGAAATGAAACTTGCTCTGCCCAATCAGAATATCAATGGACTCCTGAACCCTGTTCTCTGGCCCTACGAATGACCTCTGAATCCCATTCTGAACAGCAGCTCTCAGCTTGGAGAAATTGGCAGACGGCATCTTTTACCTCCTTCCCAAGCAAACCAGTGTCCCTCCTCTACCCCCAAATTCAAGATACAATCTCATAACTAATCAGTTCATCTATTGTCCCAAAACAAACATCGCCCAAAAGATCCACCAGAATCCCCCTGTATCAATCAACAATAGAAAGGGGACGAGAAGTAAGACGGATCCAATCCAATCTATAAAATTTCCCAAATTGTTCGACTCCTACGATTAATTCTTCAACGGGGAGACTCAGTGATCGGCGAGAAATGGAAAAAGCGGTAAAAGAAAGCATGAACGCACCTTCGTTGGAGGAGAAACCAGAACCAAGAAATCGAAAATGACAACCGCTATTATCCGAGAAAAGAGGAAGCTAAAAGTGGCAAGGCGGCTGGACACGTTGCTGCCTAACGAGTAACGACCCCCCTCTCCCCCTTTTCCCCGTCCAACTTTCTTTCTTCTCGGAGCTTCTTCGCTCTCCGTCCGGCGATCGGCCGGCCGGTGAGAAGGAGGCGGCGGAGTCCGGAGAGTTCGGGGGAGGCGAGCGATCTTCCACGAAACGCAGAGTTTACGGAAACCCTAAATTCTGAAGACAGTGACAAGTAAACGCACGGAGGCTTCACGAAGACTGTAAGTTTACGGCATCTCAGACAGAAAATCATTTTCTTTTCTTTTTCCAAGTTAATGGACAGTTTTGGGCAAGCAAGAAGTGGCTGATTAAGGTGAGGTTGGTGAGGTTAGCGAGGGTATTTTCGTAATAGGAGACCTTGAACTGGGGAAGCACGAGGCATCGAGCGTCCAAGTGGGCCATGTTGATATTCCGAGCTTTTGTTTTGTTGGGTATGGTCCAAACAGATTGGAAGAAAAGCCCAATTATATGGATCTTGTTGGCAGGCTGGCGACAAATCTTCCTTCTTGGATTTTATTTCTTACCTTTCCTTTCTTTAGACGGAGCAGGGATATGTAAATACTATCGGGGAAAGTTAATATGCTAACTTGAAGATTCGTTAGCAGATACTAATTGTCTGCTAATTGATATTCAAATTACATGAACTAATATCCAAGTACTAAAATATCTAGAGAGCACAGACTAGTATTCAAAATTTGCTAACTGATATCCACCATGAATCAACTATTATCCCAAATTTACAAACTAATATATAGACAACATAGAATAGTATTCAAACAACACATAATTAGTATCCAGATAACACATTAGAGTATCCAGATAACTCATAAGAGTATCTATATTGAATACTAGTTGGTTGATTGTGGATATTAGTTGGTATCTGCTATCTGGATACTAGTTTGTGATGTTTTGAATTCTAGTTTGTGATATCTAGATACTTAACAGACTTGGATATTAGTTCATACATTTTGGATATTAGTTAGTATATGCTAACGAATCTTCAAGTTAGCATATTAACTAGGTTGAATACTATCGGTTTGGGATTGATTTTTTTTTTGGTCCAAGATAAGTCAAGAAGGTCCACACAAAGAGAACCATAAGATCAACACAAACAACACGTGGTAGCCTCTATACAATTGAACTATCAATGAAAGAGCCTTTTTCCACTACATGGGTACCTCTAAGAAAAAGATACGATACAATAAAAATATGTAAAAAAAAAAAAAAAAAAAAAACCTCCCTGATAGCCTCCGCCAATGAGTGAGATCTCGAAAAATGTTGGATGTTTAGTTAGAAGTTGCCACCACGTGCCACAATCAAAAAATAAATCATTAGACATTATCTCATATCAATTTGAAGGGCAAGCATTTTATCAATAAAGTTGTTCGAGACACCATCCTAAAATTTACCAAAACAACTGAGATCGAAACATCACCTCATGTGTCTAGTGTCTACTAAGCTGGTTGCACTTCCTTGATTTAGATTCATTGCATCATCAAAATTGAATATGATTTCCCATCTGATGATAGGCTCTCTCCCATCCATATCGCGAGTGCTTCGAGTCGCAGATGAGTTGGTTGATAACCGGTGTTAGTATACCTTCTTTTTTCCTAGCCTTCTATTCCTCCGCCGACCTCCATTCGTCCACCTAAACTGGTAGTTGACGGAACAACATTGAGATTTGGAATAAATAAATTCATACTACAACAATTGAATCATGTAGCCACAAATTATCTTGTTGCTATATACAATTACGAGATATTTCAGTTACAAAACTTAATATTCATATATCAAGTAGTGGCAAAGCTAAAAGATTGCTACACATTTCATTTGTGTATCTAATTGTCATACATCTAGCTCAATACTCAATAGTGTTGATTAGTGACCAAAACTTCAAATTGTGCTCGAATTAAGGTTGGAGAATATGAGTTTAAATCTATAGATTGTCAACAATCTAAAAATTATAACGCTTCGGATTGTTGAAAATAGATTTAAAAATATTTATTGTTTGGTAACTGTGATTGTTAACATTCAATGAAATATTAAAAATTGTAATTTTTATTTAATTTTATATTAAATAACATGTTTATCCTTAATAAAAATATTAGAGTATTTCGAGAAATATTAAAAACTTTGTTGATAAATATATTTAATATGATAAATAAATAAAAAAAGAAGAGAAAAAGTAGGAGGAAAAAAGTCTCACGAATCAAGATTTAGAATTTCTCTGATTATAAGATATTTTTTATCCGTAGATTTTAGATATTTGAAATCTCTAAAGATAAAATCCACAATACAAAAAGCAACAAAAAGCATAACTTTTTACAAATCTACGAATTCAATGAATCCACATCAGTATCGATTTCCATCATAATTACTAACTTGAATCCTAAATTACGTATGATTATTGATAGGTTGAGTCCTAAATTAGTGTATTATATGCATTTTATGTGATAGCTCATGGAAATTTCTATCTATGAGTAATCAATGATTCTATAACGGTTAAATGTTGAACTCTACATCAGTAAACGAGCTACTGGATGCGAATACCAGACAATAGAAACACAATATCATTCAGGCTCATTTCAACCCACAAGATAGACAAAGAATACTACAGATCCCGATCCCTAGACCACCATGTGAAGATCGTTTGGTTTGGAGATTCGAAAACCGAGGTTTCTACTCTGTAAAGTCTGCATACCATTTCTGGAGGGACATGGAGGAAGCAATTTAGGGTGCGCTATATACCCCTATAAACTGGGACCGATTCTGGGGGCTCAAAATCCCTCCTAAAGTCAAGATCTTTGGTTGGAAATGGATAAGGAATGTCTTGCCTACTGGGGCAAACATTGTGGATCAGATCCTAAGGGGTTGCGACGAATTCCCCTTCTGTGGGCAGCGAGAAACTCAATACCACATCTTTCTAGACTGTGGTTGTGTACGCAGAGTTTCGAAACCCAGTTCTCTAAGCGATCTATTCAAGAAAGGAGAAGACCTTGCCCGTGAGGAGTGGATGGTGAAGCTGCAAGAGGAGGAGGATGACTCAAGAGTGAGGATGTTCCTCGTAGCATTGTGGTTCATATGGGAAGATAGAAACAGTTAGCTTTGGAACAAGAAGAAACTAGAGGAATTTGAGATTCTGGGGAAAGCTAGCAGATGGTTGGAAGAATACCTGGAAAACCAAGAGGAACGATTGGAGAAGGTTGAGAAGAGAGTCTATCGATGGAAGCCCCCGGAGTTTGCCGAATTCAAGATCAATGTTGATGCTGCATGCTTGGAGGGTGGGGGGACTAGATTGGGGGATCGTGGTTCGTAACCGGCAAGGGCATTTTTGCTTTGCCACCGTCAAACGAGTGCGTGATCATTGGACGCCGGAGATAGCAGAGCTGCAGGCGATTCGGTTTGGTTTGGAAATGGCGGAGCTGCATCAAATTTTGTCAGGGGAGGTGGAATCGGACTGTCTCTCCGCCGTCTCGTTGATTTTGCGGGAGGAGAGGTCGATAATGGAGGAAGGTGATCTGAGCGGAGAAATCAAAGAGATAATGGATAGGATCGGACCAATTTTGGTTCACTTTTCGGGCAGAACCAACAACCAGGCGGCCTACATTATGACTCACACCCTTTGTGATTGGGCCCAGATTAAATGTTGGACTCATAGGCCCCCTGTTTTCCTTATTTCATAGCTTCAACCTGATTCTGTACTGTTTCACCATAAATGAAATAATACAGGCGTTTCTATAAAAAAAATGTTGAAACATAAGCCACTAACTTTTATGATTGAGTGATTGTAAAAACAAAACTTTTATGATTCAGTATCTGGTTCAGTTACGAAAACAGAGGTAAGATTTCAAATATTATCTCAGTTCCCTATCCTAATAAAATCTTCAAACTTTCACTCTTATCTGTAGGTAATTCATTCAAATATTATTCATTATCATAATGCGGCAACCTCAATCTTTCACCATCCTAATTTTACCAGTTGTTCCACACGTAGTATTCGTTTTATCAACTAAAACGGTAAGACAGCATAAATAAATCAAACTAGTGAAGTTAGACGGGGCCACGAGGAGTGGGTCTTATTCGGCGGGAGGGATTGTTATTATGACCCCGACTAGGGAGATCCTAATGGCTGCCGGTTTTCAGTTCCCTGGCATTGAGGACCCTATGATTGTGGAGTTGATGGTCCTCCGAGATGCTGTTAGGTGATGCTTGGATCGGAGTATCACGGAGGTTAGTTTTGAGGGCGATGCTAAGGTCATCATTGATAAAATCAACCAGACGGATACTAGAGATAGTCGGATGGGTGCTATCCTTGCTGAAGTTGTGCATAATTTTGCTAGTCGCCCAAGGTTTAGTGTTCGATTTGTAGGTCGGCGTAGTAATAGGGTAGCCCATTTGGTGGCTCGAAAAGCCCTCTCTTTGTACCCGACCATGAGTCGTTCTTTTGATTTCCGAACCTGGCTTTCGTCCAGGGTGTAACTATCTATTTTTTCAATCAATGAAGATTATCTTTTGTCAAAAAAAAAAAAAAAAGAGGTGCAATGCAAATTCGGTGTGATACGATAAAAAGAATCATACTAACTCATTCACAAATACATAATGTAACCATACATACATTGTACGAGATCACGAATACTAATTTATAGTAACAATTAATAACTTTAGGAATCAATAAATACATTTATTCCATTTTGACTTACTAAAACACCACAAATTACGAATCTTTCTTCGTCAGATTTTTCAATATCCGATCTTAGTAAAGATAACCTGAGCACCATATTGCGGATGCACCGTCATAAACTGCACCGGAGAATGAACATAAGAACTCGACAGCTCAAAACGATATCGCCTCAGAATCATAGCGAGAGCTACTTTCATCTCAACCATGGCGAAACTCTGGCCAGCACAAATTCTCGGCCCCAGCCCCCAAGGCAAGAAGGCTGCCAAATGCTTTCGCGGCTGGCTGAATCTCTCAGGATTAAACCTGTCAGCATCTTCTCCCCAAATCTCAGGATCGTGATGCGCCGCAATCACGTACAATGAGACCTGAGTATTGGTCGGAACTTGGAAGCCTCCCACCTCGGCATCTCTGCAAGTTCGCCTCTGAATTACACTGACCGGAGCGTACAACCGAAGGGTCTCGTTCAAGATCATGCTTATCTGCAGTTAAAAACTCCAAATTTTTTATGCATAATTGAAGGTGATATCCGAAAATGAAATGGTTGTTCAGTATTGAGATTTTCCTTACTAGTTTGAGTTCCCCAAGGCTTTCTGCAGAGAGGAGAATGTTGTTGGTCCTGTCATCCAACACCTGAAGAACTTCCTGACGAGCTTTGGTTTGCCAATCTTGATTAATTGCGAGCAACACAATCGCCCAAGTCAGGGTATTGGCGCTTGTTTCTTTCCCTGCGAAATAGAAGGTCTTGC